GGCCTGGGAACGCCTTGGAGTTCCCCCGGAGGAGCTGGAAGAAGTGGCTGGGGAGAGGGAGGTCTGGGCCTCCCTTCTGAAGCTGCTGCCCCCGCGACCCAACCCCGGAAGAAAATGGATGGATGGATGGATGGATGGATGGACGGATGGACGGATGGAAGCTCAAAACAAAAATTTGCACCAAGTCAGAACAATCATTGCTTTTCTACAAGCCAATTGCTGCAGTTTCCTAAATAACATTTCTGTTTACTGATATATTTGTTTTACCAATCATAAACATCTATTATTGGACATCTGGAGCTAAAAGTAAAAAAAAAAAAGATTAAGTTTTTCATTTATCTCAGGTAGAACGTTTGAGAAATCTAAAGAACTGATTGTGCCTAGGAGGAAAGCCCTTTCTTAATAATGTAAATGTTATTTTTGACTACAAACAAATTAAATATGCACCTCTGCAATGCATACTTTTGTTTCCATTTACATTATCTGTCCACAAGACATAACAAATATGTTAAATATATTAACGAAACACAGAGAAAAAACATTCTTATGAGCAAAAAATAAATTGTCAATTTCACCAAAAACATGAGGAGGTTCAAAAACAGCAGAAAGTCCGTTTTTAATAACGCTTGGTGTAGTGTCTTTGGACTCTAAAGAGTTTTAAAATATTTGTTAAACTTTGACTTTAAGATATATTTTACTAGTAAGAGTGATATTTGTATTTCAAACTCTTTATCTAGTACAGGGGTCTGCAAACTTTACGATCAAAAGAGCCTTTTCTGCTATTTGTCTCACTAATAAAGTGTGTCCAGAGCCACAAAACAAGCTAAAACTGTGATTATCAACTGGTGGTTCGTGGGCCTTTTCGAGGCCTCTTTGGGAACCTTTATGGCCAGTGGAGTTGACATTATAAAACTAAAAAATATATTGTGCATTGCATTATTTATTATTATTATTGCGGATCAGGACATATGAAAAGACCATAATCATGTAAACAAGAAAAATACTGTATAGTTTTTACCAAATTTCATAAAAACTAGTTCAACTGAACTATGCAGGCATGGTTTTTTTTTTTCTAATTCTTATTATTATGTGGTCTTCAAATTCTTTAAAGGTAACTCTAATGGATTTGAGAGAACGATCATAGAAATAAGTTGGACTATTTTTATTATGTAGTCTTCAAATTATTTAAAGGCAATTCTGATGGATTTGAGAGAAAGATC